TTCACATTTCATTGATTGTTACTGCCACGTAGGAGGTACGATCTATCAAAAGATATGTGAATGTTTAAATTAATAAGTTATTATAGTAAAAGACACATTCCCAGCACTCCCTCTCAAAAGAGTCCTCCCTTCAAGCACCCTCCTTATCCAACCATTCTTGCTACTTTCTGAAGCAGTTCTGCAGGTCCTCTTCTGTGAGTGTTTCTATCATGGGTGCTTCAGGGTCCTGGATCTACTCAAAACATTGACCTTTCATGTCTCCCAGCTGGCCTGCCCTGTTCCCTTCACCTCAGGCCAGCGCTCCCACCTCCCTCAGCTTCTGCTCTCGCAGCTCCTTCTCAGTCCCTGCTTTCTTCTCTTTTTCCCTTTTCCAAGCCTGGCCCACCTTCAGCCCAGGTTGTACTTCACCCTCATCCTGGCAGCCAGGGAAACAGTTGACGGCACTGGTTAAAACCCTGGCTTTGGAACTTATCAGATGTGGGGAGGCTTGTGACCTGGTTTCCTTCTCTGCCCCCTGTGCTCTCCTGTGTGGCATGAAGACAAGATGGTGCCTGTCTCACACAGCAGTTCTGAGGAGCAACTCCCCTGGCTCCCATGAAGAGACTAGCACAGTGCCCTTCCCCATACACTCCAGGAGTGCTCAGCTGGATGATCATATATCTTCTGTGTTAACCCTAAAAGGTGACCAGTTCCTAAACCATGTAGTCCTTGGAAACTGAATAATTCGATTTGAGACTTGAAGAGTTTTAATTCTAAATCACCTGCTGTTTTATGTGTGTGAGCCCCTTTTTCAGCAGCAAAAAGTGAACTTCTTGACAGCAAGAACCAGATGACACAGAATAAAGTCTTATCTTACCCCCTTCTTAGGTTGTTGCTAAACACAGACCAATAATAACTTCTAGCATTTGTGGACTTCTGTACATTTTACTGCTGCTACTACTGTTATTACTTCGGCACTACTACTATTACTGCCGTTCCTACTATTACTACTCCAGTGCTACTTTTGCTATTACTTATACCCCTGTTGCTACTACTGCTCTTACTAACACTGCTAATATTTATTGAGTATGCACCATGTGAGCGGCACTGTTCCCTGTCCTTTGTTATCTCATTTGTCCAGCACAGCAGCCCATGCAGGAGTCAGTGCAGTTTGAAATGTGGGTTAGAAGTCAGAATTTCTGGCTTTGAATGTTGGTTCCAGTAATTACTAACTGTGCTATTATAGGAAATTCAACTACTCTTTATCTCAATTACCTTAAAATAGAATTCTCAGTAACTGAGTAGAATCAACATGATAATGCAAATGAAAAGTTTTTAAAATCTCAAATAGTGCCTGATACTCATGTTGTTCCTATGAAGAACTCTTTTACTGTCCTTAAGAGTGTGTTGTCTGCATCTTCCTGCCCCCATCTTCTGCAGAGCACTTCTGCAGCATTCTGTTTGCTGCTTACATGGTGCCTAGGCCAGTGTGCTGTAAAAGCCATTGATTTCTTGGAGAACTCTGCCAGCCTGGATGCTACTGGAGAGCAGGAAAATAAGCCTTGCTCACTCTTGTGTCCACATCATGAAGCACAGCCCTAGTGCATGCTAAGGTTTCAACTGACACTTGCTGAATGAATAAAAGGTTGAATTTGTGAGTATGCATCCTGAACCGAGTCTGGAGCTAACTACATAGTCCTCACATTTACTGCTCCTGATTACCTCAGAAGATGAAATGCATTGCTCTCCTGGTCCCTCTCTTCTACCTTTCTCCAACAGTGGTGGAGGTTTTATGTTTCCCATTTTATGGATGAGAAGATGGAGACCCCAGGTTGTAAGGACACTGAGTCTAGATGCTTGGACTTTATGTTCTGGTTCTATAGCGTTGGCTTAGTGAGTAGCAATAGACTCATTGCTGCTGGGAACCCCAGTGATGAATGATGAGGTTTATGCTGTTCCTTTTACCCTAGAACTGAGAACAGAAAGAATTCAGAGCCCCGGATTCCAGGGCCTCTGAGCAGGCCCCGCAGTCTGAATCAGCGAGGATGTCCCTAACTGTGTCCATGGCATAAGAAAATCCTCAAGCCCATGTGTTTGGCCTCTGTCTGCAAAGTGAGCTAACTGTGCAGCTGCTCCTCACCAGTGTGGAGAAACTGCCTGTTAAGCTTTCATTACTGTGTTCTTGCTCCTCATTTGCCTGCTGTGTGCAGACTCAGTAACTGAAAGAACATTTAGCATTTCTCGTTGGAAAGCAGTTCCCTCCTTGAAACATGTAAGAGATTAAACCACATTGTTCATTTAAGAGATCAAATCACTCTTTTTCATTTTTACTCTAAAAAGTCAAAAACATATAAAATAGAAAATTTAGAAAAGAAGGAAAAGAATCACCCTAATCCCATGACTTTAGCATACTGACTGTGCTAGTGATTTTCCTTCCATTTATTTGTTCCTATTTGTTTTTATATTTCCATTTATTAAAATTGCATCCATCTAAAGTTATGTCCTTAGCTTCAGTAAGCATTTTAGCGGAATACTATTCTAAAGTATTTGTGTACTATGTTGTGTGGCGACGTCAAGCCAGTAGCTCGAGGTACAAATCTGCAGTGAAGGAGAGAGCTACAGAGAGAGAAGCTTGGAGGTTTTGAGTGTTGGATGGTGTTAAAAGCCACGAGACTGGGTGTGATCTCCTTGGGGAGAGTGGGTTAGAAAGAGAAGAGGGCCTGAGACCCCTCTTTAGAGAGTGAGGAGCAGCTGGGCAAGGAGACAAAGCAGATCAAGAGAGGTGACAGGGGTTGCCCAGTAACCCTCCAGATGGAGGACCTGGAGTCCACAGAGCCATCCGCTGGGGAAGCACTCACAACCTGGACCTCTTACACCCTCAAAGTGCTGCCTGTGTAGCCAGGCCTTGTGTGTGGACATCAGCTATACGTTAGAACCTGGCAGGCTGCTGCCCTTACCGCAGCCAAGAACACCTCATTAGGTCTGACTAACTCAGTGTTCTGTATAATTTATTATAGTTAGTCCTGAAGTGGCCTGAAGTTAACCTTTACTCTGTCTCCTACCAAAGGGAAACTCATCCAGTGTAAATCCAATAACCATTATTAATTGTTTAAATTAGTTACGTTATCTACAAATTAGTTAATCTATACTGGGTACTGCATAGTGTAAGCAGGATTGGCAGTGAGCATAGCTAATCTATTTATAGAAAGGAACTGGTCACAAAGGGTTACAACGGTGGAAACCTGGTCCCATACGGTTTTGACCCTGTCACTCACCCGGCTGATTTCATACCTGCTACGCAGAGACCATAGGACTACAGATGATGCAAAGTCCCAGGCTCTGGGGTTACCGAGGGCTATGTTGGAATCGAGGCTTCTACTTACTAGTGGTGTGGCCTTGAGAAAAACATCTTCTTATCTTTATAATGTGGCTATAATGCTGTTACCTTCCTGAGAGAGTTGTGAGAATCATTTGAAATATGGTTTATAAAACACATGGCACAGAAATAGTGCTTAATGAAGATGTGTTTCTTTGCTTTTCCTCTGAGTTTAAATTTCAAAGTGCCCCCTAAAATGTTGTCTCACCTACAGAGGTAAATTTGTCATTCCTGTTTATAATGATGGTTTCTTTCTGTAAGTTCATCAAACTTGAAATTTTCCCCTTATTTTGTGTTATTTCCCTCTGTCTTCAAGTGAAGTTACGTGTTTGCATGTCTGTGTTCTATGACAGAATATAGATCTCATCCATGGGCCTACCCTCCTGGAACTCTTGGAGCAGCATTTCCACTCATATATGGAATAAACCATGAATGGTCAGGAATATGTGGGAAGTAAAATGTGCCAAGGCGAGAAGAGAAGGGAGTATTTGAGGTAAGAGAAAGATTATGCAGGACAGACGGGGTAGCAGCTCTATTAATGGGGCAATGAGGATAACACTAGTATAATAGGCTAGGGTTAAAATTATGTTTTCTCCTAGAGAAAAAAATCTAATGAGGTTTTGGTTTATCTAAATAAGTTTATCTATAAAAATGTACTTTCAGATTGCCTCTAAATAAATGTCTTTAAAAATAAATGATAAACTGAGTTCAAAATTATACAAAAACAGTAAAGCTTGTGGCAAGTAATAGGAGTGTTTTGCTGCTTCCAGAGTTCAGCATACTCTGTTTTCTCAGCTGTTGGTGCCATTCTTTACTACTGCTTGGTTCATTAGAATTCCTTTCAGGCTTGAAAGTCTTTGGAGCTTTTCCATATAGGTCCTGCTTACGCTGTCAGTCTCTCCTGTCACCAATGCCCTAACCCACCCCCAACATGGCCACTTCTGGTATTGACAGTGTCCAACAGAGCTGAGTTACAATTCCATTCTTCATTACTCTGTGCCACCAATAACATGTGAGCTACTTCAGCATCGCGCTACCTTCGAATTCTTTACAATAGCAAAGCCTTCATCAGATAAAGCCTTTCTGACCATAGCTTTGGACAACACACTTATTTGATACTATTGGATGTTTTTCAAAGTGAGTGAATACACAAAGAAGATGCTGGGGAGAAAACACTATACTACTACAGCTCTAGGCACCAGAAACAGGGGATGTCTTGTAGTGAATTTCTAATTTGCTGGCAACAAATTGTCAGGGGCACATATAAGTTCAATTTGGAGAAGCAGTGACCATGGAATTGAGTGGAGGGGGAGAGAGCTCAGGGAGGGAGTCTTCCAGGAGACTTGGTTTACCAGGCGCTCTGCAAAGAAAGCAGCACCCCCAGGAATGGCTTACTTGTTAGGCCCTAGGGACTCCCAGCATGGGCGTGTAGGTTGTTTGTGACAATGTCCTCCAAGGGCTGGGAAGTCCAGATTCATCCTGAAAGCAGACACATTTGTTTAGCAATTTGTTTGCTGAGGGGAAATGACCTTCACAGGTTTGCTTTTAGCTTTTTTTTATGGCGGGGCAGTCCAGCTGGTATGATGGACGGGGACAGGGCCTCCTCTTCCTGAAATGTCCCTTTTAATCTTCGTGCTCCACAGTCAGTGTTCAGCCACAGCAGGCTTGGTGAGGTCCACCTCAAATGCCTGGATACGGGACCAGAAACCAACACAGCATGATGGTGGCTCATTTCTCACATTCCCCATCCTTTCCCATGGTGGCCATAGCTCAGCCTCTGTACATGCCTGCTAAGCAAAAAGGTCATCTGCCTGCCTCCATTTTTCACACCCTATAATCAATACAGGTGCATTTGCTGCCATCTTCCTCAGATTTGCCTAGCATGCCCACCCTCCCTCCAGCTAAGTCACAGTCAGGTTTCAACTTGAGAGTAGTCCTACCTGACCCACGGGGAAGTCCCTTGCCCTTGCACCGACTAGAAGCACTTGGGTTCCCCTAGCTGTGCAATCCAAAGGTTAGGAATTATTGTCTGCATCAGCAGTCCTCCTGGGCCATTTATATTTATTCTCCCAGATTGTCATCTTAAAATGTTCATGTAGTATCGATTTCATTTTTAGCTCGTCCTTATGACTAGATTGCCGTCTCCTTTGTGAGTCAGATTATACATTAGATGTGCTCATGATCTTATTCAAGCTATTCAATTTCCTGATCTTTAGTTGCCTTATCTTTAGAGTGAGGATTGTAATAAGAATTACACATAGGGTTGTGGTGAAGATATAATGAGAGAATATACCCAACAGTACTTAGAAGATAGCCCTGAATGGAGAAAGGCATGGCGTTTTCTCACATGTTTATTTTACTTATGCAAATTCAACCACATACTCTTTAATATATAATTGTAATACTTTTGAGTTGTATTTATGTATGTACATTAGCTACCGTATTTATATACATGTATTATGTATGTCACTATGGGAGATTACATATACAAAATATGTATATTGCTTTTTCTGGGCAATTTAAAGTATGCTCAAAGGTAATTTTACCTATCTGTAGTTTTTAATATGTTGTGTGAGATTCAACTTCATGTTACTGATCTCTTAATATGTGCTACAGGTTTTACATACATGACCTCATTAATCTTTGTGCACATTCATTTGATAGGAGAGGAATCTAAGGCTCACAGAGGTTAACTACCTTGTCCAAGGTCACATGGCTAGAAAAATCAAGACCTTTAAACCATGACTGTCAGATTCCCCAGTCCATGGCCATTCATTCCCATCTCTATTGACTGATTTGGGATGTGTGGTAATGGACTTGTCCCATGTGAGAAGCAGTCAGTGGCCAGGAGAAGAGATGGGAAACTGGTTATCTCTGAGAATATGGCCTTGTCATTTGGGTGCAGGAGAGCTCTGTCAAGCCTAGGGCATCTGCTGTAGGCTGGGAACCACTAAGTCTTGCTCATGTGCTTCTCTTAGGGACTTCTGATATGTCCTGCATGTAAATGCAAAGTGCAGCTGAATGCTAATCTCTGGAGTGGGATCTGCCAGCCGATTCATGCCCAGCTCTGATTTTATTAGCATAATGTCACTTATCGCTTCTTCTACTGGTCTTGAAGAAACAACTTCTGACAGTGGATGATGATGCTCTAGGTGGAAGGTCACGAGGGATCCTGATCAGGAACATTTTCAGCCCAAATATGAACTCTCAGTTTGTTTGGCTTGCAGTGTAACTAATTGGAGAATTGTCTCCTGGCCTGAAACAATTCCTTATCCAAATGGAATGATAAACTGCTAGCTGCTGAATTTAACAGACATTTTTCTCTATGCTAAGTTCTAGTTAAAAATTTTTAACAAGACAAGACCCTTGCACTTATAGGCTTAAAGTTGTCTATAATAAATTTTACATTTCCTTTGGACTAAGACAGTTTATTGACTGCACCTGTATATGGTTTGGGCACTGCCAGTTGTTGTACATGCCTGCTTGCCTTGGCAAGAAAAGTAACAAAAGGTGTGAGCAGAGCAGGTGGCAGAATAGCCAATGAATTAAGAGTAAGGAAACATGGCTCAAATTCTAGCTCCATCTGAAGTTAGGTATTGAAGGCACAATATGATCCCCACAGGAAAATGACCAAAAACCTAAAATTCCAGCATTTGGGAGAGAAATTGTTGTTTCAAAAAAAAAGCTGTAATGTACTACCTATTTTCCGGGACTTGTTTTATTCCTGTCTCACACTCATCCCAGTGATGTCTAAGAGGTACATAATTCATGCTGTGAGGAACTGATGTTCTTGATGACTCTCTGGCCATTGCATTGCTTACTGCCTTCCATCTTTCATCCTCTCAGATCTCATTCATTTGTTCAATACTCACATTGAGCCAACAGGCTAGAGGTGTAAAGGAGAGGTATGATGCCCACCTATCTTAATGAGTCATGGAGCCTACTAACGGATGTTACAAAGAAAAGAACGTAATAGCAATTCAGTATGATGAGGGTTATAGTGCAGGAAGCATGGGAGAGTGGTGCTTGTTCTGTCTTGGTGGATCGAGAAAAAAGAACAAAAATAGTTGACAGTGAAGCTGGGTTTGTACAGTGAAAGAAGGAGGTTGCGAGGGGTCCAGTTATAGGGAACAGTACAGGGCTAGGGAACAGCTCTGTCTTTTGGGTTTTCAGTGCACTAGGCATCTACATTGCTGAGACTGGCTGCTCTTAGCTGTCTGGCCCTTTTTACTTCTTTTCTTTAAAACTTGACCATATGAGGTATGCCTAAAAATGTAAAGAATTTTTATATTTAAAAATTGCCATTAATTGCCATTAATTCACCTCAAAATATTCTCACTTGCTTTGAATACACGTATTCCATTGTTCTTGCCACTTTCTGAAGCAGTTCTGAAAGTTCTTTTTCACAAGTGTCTTACTTTAGTTGTGACTGTCTTGATGTCCTAAAGTCATTCAAAACATTTACTTTTCTTAGTCATTTTGACTTTGGGGAAGACAGAGAAGTCTCAAGTGCCAGTTATGGAGAATAAGGGAGATGAGGACACACTATAATGCTTTACTTAGCAGCAGCATTCACTGTATTTTTTATTTTACTTCATAAAGAAATGCACGGAGGAGGAATTCCAGAATTGTTTCAGAAAGTGCCAAGGACAATGGGATAAGTGTGTTCAAGTGAGTATTTTGAAGATTAATGGCAATGTGTCTTTTACTGTAAAAAATTTTTAAAAATGTAAACATTTATTATATATTTTGCTCATACCCCATAGATCTCAGACATTAGGCAATGTGAATGACAGTCATTATTAGCTTTAGAAACTTTCCATTGCCAAATGTGTATGTTCTCATGACAAGATGCCTAGAGGTTGTGATAAACCCAAGTGGGACCATCTGAACATGCAATTCTGTATCCTTTCTTTCCTTACATGGAGATAAAAGTCAGTCTGTCTCCTTGACCTACTTCCTACTGCCTCTACAGTACACATGAACTACACATGACAGTGCAAATCAGAGAGGCAAAATGAGATGGCTAGAATCACACGGCAAGTTGGTAGCAGAGGCAGGAATGCGAGATGGGTCTCAACACCATGAACAACATTCCTGCACAAATGATGAATTTTCGAGCTTCCAAAATGTTGTTCCTGCTTCTCTGTCTATTTGGCATGCTTCACTCCTCTCTATTCTCCAGGGCTCATCTCAAAGACCACCTCCTCTACAGCCTCCCACAATTGTCTATTCACTCCACCTCTGCTCCACTACTCCAGTTCTAGGACGAAATAACCACTTGCCCTTCTGTGCTCCCCAGCATTTGCTGAGGCCTCTGACTTTATGTCTCAGGATGATACTCATTTATGGCAGTCTCCTCATCCAGTTATAAGTCATGTGAAGACTGGGCTCACTTTCAGTCACCTCTGTATCCGGAGCATGCAGCAGACCCTCTATGAATCTTGCTGAAGGGTTTAATTAACAAATCTCAAAGATAACATGCTTTGAGTTAAGGTACCTTTCAGTTTAAAGCCATCTGCATGATGTTTTAAAACCTCAGAGAAGGTCATATCTTTTCCAAGTAAGCTTTTATCTTGATGGTATTCCATGTGGGGGTCTGGCTATTGGGCAGTATGCAAACAGAAAGTTCTTGTGATGGATAGACTGGAGATTGCCATCAATATATGGACTTGATAAACCAGTATTTTTACAGAAGCAAATACAAACTGTAGTTATCCAAGCAGATAAACCCTGGGAATCCTCACTCTGTCTTAACAAGGATTTCCTTGGTGAATTCTTTTGTCTTCTTGCAAATATCACCATGCTCTTTGCTGCCTTTGGTTTCAGTTTTCAAGTCCAGGGGTCTGTGTCTGGTGCACCTGGCCAAGTCACCTGGAAGTGATTTCAAAGGTTGAAGATGAGTCTTTCTCTGGTTCAACCCAGCATAAAATCAGTGTAGAAGGGACTCTGGAGTTTGGAAGGGCTGGGTTCAAATCCAGACTCTACCACTGTACCTTGGCACAAATAACTTTGCCCCTCTAAGCCTCAGTTTCCAAAGCTGCAGAGTCTATTTTTCTGGAAGCACTTTGGAAAGGATTAAATGTGGTAAGAAAAAATTGTTGGTAAGCAGAAACGATTAATATAATTAGCACTTTGTAAAAGTCTTTCTTTCTTCAGGGACTGAGCAGAAGCAGTGAGGTAGGCTTTACTAAGGGTGCTCAAAGCATTTCTTTCATAGCTATGGTTTCTTTTCCTGTTTTGGACAGCAGCAAAGGTCAATGTTTCCCCTCCGTGGCTGTCTCATTTCCCTTTTGCCCCAACTCAGCGGCCTCAACCACTACTTGTTCTTTTTTCTGAATGGAGCCAGTGGGCCCCTTCCCACCACACCCGCTCCCTAGCACCTCCTCTGCTGTTACCCTTCAGTGACCGAGTCCCAAATACCAAGAACTCAAGGGCTGTTCCACGAACAGCAGCTTTTTTTTCATTTCTGGCCCAGGCTTCACCCCACACAGCATATCCTGTTGAAGAAAATAGGTACTGAAAGTGTTTCGGGGACCCCTGAACAGAGCAACCCTCCTTGTCAGGTCCCCTACCCTACCAAGCACTCAAGCTCTGCTGGAAGGTGAGAACTGAATGAAGGCATTCTCCTACACTTGGTCAGGTATGGAAAGGGTATTCTTTTTTTTAGTTGCTAATCCTCTGCACCTAGAACAGAATTAAAATGGCATGAAGTACTATCTAGTGAATATCTCCCTCCCAACCCTGTCCCCGTCCCTGCCATTCTCACCCTAAATGCCAAACCACTGTTACTTGTTTCAAGTGTGCCTCTGTGGTGCCCAGCACATGAACGCACATGGACATTTTCTCTCCGAAACTGTAGCACAGTGTTGTGTCTCACCTTATGTACTCAGCATTGCATTCTACAGCTCATCTACCTTTACTGATCCAGACTGCTCTCCTGCCAAACCAGGCATAGCAGCCACTTTTATTCAGGGACCAGAGTTTATTCAACAGGGTATCTGCTGAGACCGTGTAGGTTGCCTGCAAAATTACAATGAATAACTCTGTGGATACATCATTTTTTGGGAATTAGTTCTAAATCCATTAAGGAAATGCAAAGGTTAGTGAACGTGAGCTGGCCGAGGAACCCAACACCAGGAATTCCTGGAATCTTCCTGCCTATTCTTTCTGTTTTTCTGGAAAACCCTCTGCCTTTGAAGATGGGGCTCATAGGTCACTTCCTGCCTTAAACCTTTCCAGACCAGCTCTAGCCAGAGAAAGTTGCTCCTGTATCTTTGGGGTCACAAGGTGGTGCCTTCCAAACTGCAGCTGGGCAACAACCTCCAGAGTGTATGACAGGCCAGATTGCTGGACCACTCCTCCAGGCCCCCATTTCCCTTCTGGAAGTCCTCAGTGGGCTCTGAATATTACCTTCCCAATAAGTGCGCAGATGATACTTCTACTACTGCTCAGCATCCACCGACTCCCCTGCCTCTATGATGCTGCTGAGGCCTGTCCCACTTCCCATCCCGACCCTAGCCTCAGGCTGAAATAACTATCTTTTCTCTTTAGCCTGAAACCTCCAGGAGGGCAGCGACGGGCTGTGGGTTTATTGCACAGTTCATCTTCAAAACTTGACAGAGCACTCAAGAACATTCAAAGTGGTCAATAAATGCATGTGAATGAATGAATGTATTAAAATAGTTCACTGCATTCCTTCTCGCAAAGCTCAACTCCTTAGGACTAGGACGCCTGTGTCCTTATACAGCTCCTCCCCATCTCCATTGCTCCTGGTCTTGTCTTACTAGTTTCTGCTCTGTCACTAGTGTGCGCAGTTTTACTCTTGCCCTTCTTCTGTTCTATTATTCCTAAGACAGATAGGCTGATGTTTTAATAATATAATTTGAGTGTAAACTTTGGCAACTAATTTTATGTCTATCAATAGAGACCTATGAAACAGATGATTGTATGTGTTAGCTTTGAGTCACTGTGACAAAATGCCTGAGAAAATCATCTTTGAGAAGGAGAGGTTTATGTTGGTTCATTTTCCAAGGTTTTCAGTCCCATGTTCACTTGGCCCCTCTGCTTCTGGGGCTTCATGAGGCTGAGCCCCGTGGCAGGAGGCTGTGATGGGACAGAACTTCTCACCCCATCCAAACTGGTGAACAGCAAAGAAGAGGACGGGGATAAGGTCTCAATCTATCTCCAAGAGCACACCTTTAGTGACCTACTGCCTCCAACTAGGCTTTACCTTCCAAAGTGTCCACCCCTGCCAATACCCCCACCAGCAAGTGACCAAGATGTCAACACCTCAGCTCTTGGAGAACATTCCAGATCTGAACCATGACATCAGGCATCCATGTCATCGCACAGAAAATTTCCCCCTCTCCCTTCTTGTGGCTGCACTCCCTCCCTTCCCCATGCAGTTCAGTTGCTTAAGTGCTGTAACACTGGAGGATCGCCATGGTATAGTAAAAGTAAATGTGTTCCAAATTCCCTTCATAGCTCACACTTTCACTAAAGATTTCTCTATTGACATAAACCACCCCCATATCTTAAGCATTTGAGGCCATCAAGATGCTCATTGGTGGGGAGGATTCTTGTGGAAACCAGAAGAGGGACAACTGGATCAGGTCAAAGAGTGCACGGATGGTCAGGGGTAAGGCCCAGGATTTTATTCTGTAGGCAACAGGAGACACAGAGTACAGCTCAGGAAAACCATGGCTGACATGTACACCGGAGTAATTCCTTTGAGTTGGATTTAAAGAGGTGGAGGCTGGAGCTAAGGAGAAAGGAGGAGGCTCCCACCATGGTTAGGTGAGCAATGATGAGAGTCTCAGGCTGAGGAGTAGTGAAAAGAGGGCAGGACAGTGGAGTGAAGGCAGGAAAAGAGTTCAGTGGATGGGTGTTCAGACAGTGAGGCTGCTGATGGTGATGCCACAGAGAAATCAAGCGACGTAGAGCAGAACCTCAAACAGAGAGTGGACAAGAGGTGATGCCAGGGAGGGGTTGTTTCCATCAGCAAACTCAGATGGAGAAGGACAGAGAGGGCTGAGGATGCGAGCAGATGTTTCCAGGCTGGCTTAACCAGAATTGCTCCATTTTTGTTTGCCGTGAAAACCGAAGAATTATGTAAGTACTTTTACCACTGAAAAATCTTGAAAACATTAAAAAAAAAAACCCTCAAAGCCTTAAAAAAATAGAAAAAAAAACCCCTCCAAGGTTATATTTCATTTTTTTGTGGTATTTTCTTCCAGTTGTGTGACAATCTTTGCAGCGGGGCAGAAAGACTCATCATTTCGAGCACTGCTTTAAGCATCTGCCACAGTCACCAGGCCTCAGAGGCACGGCATACTGGTGGTGACAGAAACAGTACCGATTGTCCCCTGCCTGCACTCTGCACCTGGGTTCTGCTGGGTAAGTCACCTACCTGTGAGAAAGCCGGCGTCGCTGCTTATAGGCCCAAGAAAGCCCGTGGCTGAGCACACCAAACCTGTTTCATCTTGAGTCGTGTGCAGCATAGGGAGGAAGCGATGAGGACTTGGGAAATCCTCACCTTTGTACTGAAAGCAGCAGCCTGTTGTTTTGTGCCAGGTACCAAATGCCCGCATACCACAAGTTGCATGGCTGAGTAGATTTTTACAAGTTTGCTGGAATCTCCCTTTTTCCAAATGATTTGTCCAAGGTCAAAATAAAATTGCTTTCAAAACAGTCTCTAGTTAAAGCAACAAATGCTTAAAGTATATGAATCATACTTGGATTTTGTCATTAAATCTTCACTGTAGGGCGGTAGTTCTCAATCTCTAGCCTCAGCAGAATCATGAAGAGGACTTAGAAAAACCCAGAGTGCTGAGTCCTAATCCTAGAGTTTCTGATTTAGTGAGTCGGGGATGGAGCCTGAAAAAACTGCATTTCTCAGTTTCCCATGTGATGCTGATTTTCTTAGTCAGGTGACAAAATGCAGAGAACCACTGGTGTGTAGGAAAGACTCCTGGCCTTCAGATCTCATGTGACTCACTGTCTCTGATCCTCAGTTTTTTCATCTATTAAATAAGTCCATAAAAATTCAGCAAACCCAAAGCTGCTTTTCCCCTTTCCTTTTCTTCCTCCTCCTCTCCTTCCTCCTCTTTTCTTCTATTTTTGGGTCCTGTCTTTTTATGCTGTACACAGGGGCACAAGGAAAATGATCATTTTAAGTTAGATTTTCTTCCATCTGTTAAGTGACCTGGCTGTCACAGTTCCTTGTTGGAAGGAACCACGTGAGTTCTTTTCCTCCAACCTGATCTACAGATGGGTGACCTGGGGCAAGTCACTTTATCTCCTGGAAGTGTCTTCTGCTTGTATCTCATTAGCCAGAAATGGATCAGGTAATCACTTCCAGAATAACCTCATTCAAGTCTTGTGTTTCCTTCCATAAGACTCTAAGGATGTTGAGAATTCAGGACTGCCCTTTGTTTATTTTGGTGGGTAGGCCTGTAATACAGAAATTGGACTGATGCAGCTTCAGACACAGTCTCTGCCATTTAATAGCTTGTGAACTTGGGCAAGGGACTCGAAGTTACCAAGATCCAAGATCTCATCTCTAATGTGGAAAGAAGAATAAAACACCTCCCAGGATGGCCATAGGATTAAATGAAACCAGGGATAGAGCTGCTTGGCATGCTTCTGGACACACAGTAGGGAATCAATAAGGAGCAGTTGTTGTGCAAGCTGAAATGTCTGAAGTAATGAGGCAGTCACTCAGAAAGTCTGGGAACCCACCTGAACTGAATCACAGCCGAGCTGACAGTTACAGTACTAACGAAACAACCCAAACAACCATGAAAAAGGACAAGAACAAAACAGCCCACTTTCCACAGAACAAAACCTCCGAACGTGCCGTTGTTGGCAGAGCGTGTGGGTGCCACGCTGCCCGGGAAGATGAGGAGCAGCAGCTGGCATCGCACAGCGGGGCAGCGCCAGGCAAGCGCCCCGGTCGGTCTGCAGCAGAGCTTGCCCCACAGGCCCTGTGCCAGGCCTTAGAGGCAGAAGGAAAGCTGGAGGAGCCAGGAAGGGCAGGGGAACTGGGAGAGGAGAGAGCGAGGAGACTTGCAATTATCTCCCTGAGACTGTTTAGAATGTAGTGTTCCTCTCCACCCCCTTCCTTTTCACGTTGTAATTTTCTTCACAGAAAGAACACAATGGAGAACATATTCCAGACTGCCGAGCTTGCCGCTAAACTCTGACAACCCAGACATGAGAACAGATAAGAAAAAAACAGAGGTAATTTTTTTCCCCTGCAGAGATTTCAGAGATCAGCGCTGAGAAATCAAGTTACATTTGAACATCCCATTAGCTGCCCGCTCAGTGGTTTTGACACGCTCTGTCCTCGGTGCTCAGCAGGCTTCAGTGGCTGTTTTCCTCGCCTGGGGGTTGGGGAGAGGCTGCTCCTCTGTGAGATTTGCCCCCAGTTCCTGTCCACAGGAGGCCCGGGCTGCATGGTTTGCCCTCCGACTCCCATTGGATGCATAGAAGGTCCTCCCTGTCTTCTTATCTGTCTTTAGGAGGTGGGGAGAGGCTGAGTTCATGGCCAAACTGTCCTTGGGAGAGCACAGGACAAAGCTGGAAAAGCAGCTTGCGGAGGGACACAGGCTCCCCTCTGACTTCTATGACCTCCCTTTCCCTGCCCACCGCTTTGGGCTCTGTCTCTCCTTCCAACTCGGTCTCCTTTGCACTCTCTCCCCTGCTACTCGTTGCTGAGCCCACTGTATCTCCCCATCGCTGTGGCCATGTGAAGAAGAAAAGAATCCCCGAACGTGGCTGTCCTTCATTTAAGGATTTGTTCAGAGGAAAAATGTCAATCAATGGAAAAACGAGAGATTACTTTCTTTTCTGTCCCCAATTTCTCTGCCCAAATCAATACCACACCGTTTTAGCACTTATTTGGAAATTTAGCGGGTACAAAAATTTCTTGCCCTACATTAGCTTTCCAGTTTACTTGAGGAGCTAGGATACAAATGGTCAGAATTTTAACAGCAAACCAAGGGAAGCAGCAATGCTGATGAGCTAAAATGCAACTCTGGCTTCAAATGCTTCCCCTCATGAGCAGCAGTCACGTCCTCAGCTCCGTGAGACAGGGGCCTCTGTCTCACAACTGCATCCCAGCACCAGGGGACCGGGCAGATATTAGGAGCTCGGTACACAATTCACTGAAGGAATAAATAAACGAGTGGTATAGATAATTAGGAAACTTGATTTTGCCTGAGAAGATCATTTCTAAAGGACATGTCTTGTTTTTTAAAACCTGACAACTGGGATAGGGGCATTTTATGGCTGGGGGGTGGGGTGCGTGTGTGTTAAACACTTGCCATATCCCAGTCTCCAAGCTAAGCCTGCTATGTTCTTAATGATACTTAATCCCCCCAGTGACCATAGGAAGCAGAATTCATTCCGGAGGTTAACAGATGCAAAAAGTGGGACTCAGACTTAGTGATCAAGTAATCTGCCAAGAGTACCCGGGGAGTAGGTGGAACAGGCTTTTTCTTTTAAATTTAAAAACTTACTTTCTCCCTCCCTTCCATGGTAACATTCTACCTTGAATGCCACCTACATCAGCCCCTTATCCTTCGACTTGCTGCAAATCTTTTCCACTGGGTGAAGATTTGAAAGTTCTGCCAGGGAAGGGAGCAAGGAGCAAAGCCACAGCCCCAAAGAGGACTCAGACCCTCTTCAGCTGGAGGACTTCGAGTCACAGAGTTTATGGACTCCCAGTGGGATAGATTAGCAGGCGGGATGTAATGACAGGCTCCAGGGACATTCCTGGATTGAAGAGTTTGTGCATGTCTTCCTGCTTCCACCAGCTGTACTTGCCTCTGGTTTAATTATATGCTCAGGATACAGATGCCTCTGGAATTGCAGGCCATGTCTTGCTTCCCAGGAAGGGTTACTGGTTAGATGACACTTAGAGTGTGGAATTCAGGGGGAGAAAAAAGACGGTTGTCCTTTAACAGTATAAATAGATTGGAACCATTGTAAGCCAAAATTTGCTCATTAATTCATGCAAAAATATTTGATTACTGTGGGGCTTCTTGCTGTCTTTGTTTATCTAACCGAAAGATGGCCAATCAGAGCATATCATTCTTCAGGACATAACCATTAGTTCAGGGACTAGCATACACCCTCAGCTAGGCGAGGGTCAATGCAGGGAAATAACACCGACAATCACAGAGTGTGGGTCTCTCAGATCTTGAAAATTGGATTTGCCGGGGCCCTTTGACCCAGCATGCTGAGTGCTTCTGGAAAAGACACCAAAGGGGGATGGCAGAGCTGAGGTGGGACAGAGGAGTATTTGAGCCCGAGGCTCATCCGAGACCCTGGCTTCTGAGGCTGCACTGAGAGACACACCCCCTGCACTTGCCCTGGGGTTGGCAGCAGGACCAGGAGGAGTAAGGATTTTCTTTCTTGTCCTGAATAGAAGTACCATCTTTAGTTTATAATGGCCCCTGAGGATACAGAAGGGCTTCGAGCTCTGGGATTGAATCTTTGTTCTGATGTGGTTCCTTCGGACCTAACTTTGGGTTCCAGGGATCTCGTCACAGGTGTGGGGACAAGAACTGCTGGGCCGAGCTGGGCATGTCAGCATATTATTAATGGGCTGCATAAAATTTGGAAAAATTAATTGAACCTCAGTTTCCTTATTTGTAAGGGGAAATGTGAGAGTCCAGTGAGCTATGAAGACACTTTGTTAGTGCAAAAGGCCACCCTGGTAGTCGTGCAAGGGCATGGCCTGTCTTGGTCCCCCTCATATCATTCAATTCTTATGTACTTAATGAAGTACTCAGTTACTAGCAACCGCCAGGTAATGCTAAATATGCTTATTGATGCTCAGAAACACTCTTTTATATATATATACAATCTTGCCTCAAGTGTTTTACTACCTAGAATCCAACTTTCTTTACCATGAGAAACTGAGCTAAAGCCTCCCTGTAGTCCTACCTGTATCAGTAAACTCTTACTTCACAACAAACCAACACAATACTCATGTTTTAAAAAATAATGATTCTTCTTGAGTCGAGGGGCTAGCTGGACCATTCTCCCAACCCTGCCTGGGCTTGGCTGGGCTTGCCTGTTCTCGTGTGCTATTTGCCAGAGACAGACAGCAAGAAAGCGGCTGGTGTAGGAGGCCACAGTAGAGATCCGTCCCGTTCTCCAGCAGGCTAGCCCGAGCTTGTGTTCGCTGTCTTGCATGCTGCCAAGAGCCTGGAGAATTGTTCATAGACTCTAGAGCAGAGCTGGGCCACTTCCTCCATGTGTATGCACTTCCCAGAGTCAGACACAAAACCCGCGCAGACTGAAGGGGTGGGGGTGAGGCTGCCTCTCTCCGTGGGCAGAGCTACAAAGCTCTCTTGCTGGAGGGAGGGTAGGAATTGGGAAACAGTGCCAATAACCTTTGAGCCAAAATGGGAAAGTGATTTAAGGCTGTAAACTCAGAAAAGGAAAAATGTGGATCCCCTTCTCTTATCTCTTCGCCTAATCTCCCCTTTTTGTCTTTATCTGATGTTGCCCTAGGGAAACTTTCATAATCTATGTGGCCTGGACAATTATGGTAGCTTGAATCTGATATTTTTACCTGCAAACCAATTTTACCTGTAAACCAATTTACCTGTAAACCAAACATTTATGTAGCAACTGCTATTGCCTCAATACTGTATTAAGGTCAGAGATGAAACAAAAGATATTCTAAGAATGGAGACCCTTCCTTACGGTGCTCAGGCAAATAAAGCATATGGACACATGCACAGTTAGTTACCTGTAAGGCAGACTGATAAATGCTTTTATGTGCTCTCACTGCAAGTCACTCTCTACTTCATTGCTAAAGTTATTTGAATAAAAACACTCTTCATGTTGCCTACAAAATAATGACTCTATCTCTTAACCTGGTATTCAAGGTTTTCATGAATTGCTTCTCATCTCTGTCTCTCCAGGCTCTTGATTTATTCCTTGTGAGAGAATCCAACCCTCCTACTGTATCAGAATCTTCAGTGTTTCCCATAGTTCCTGAATATACTTCTTTGTAAATAACATCTCCCTCACCTGTGTGTTCTCACCCCTCATTTCTGGCTGTTGAAATCTCACCCACACTGTTAAGATCATGCTCAACTGTCAACCTCCCCCACAAAGTCTTCCCTTTCTAACTTACTTAGGATTAATTTCCTCTCCTTCCATGTTTCCCTGGTCTTTTCTCCAGCGTGTCCACATTCTTGTGAACTCTGTGAGGCTGGAGTCGTCTGGGAGTGGGGATCAGTCTTTCTCACTTGTGTCCCCACCTAGTGCCTGGAACACCTGCCTTGTTATAGGAGCTGAGTATACGCCATTGATGGACTCGAATCTCTTTCCCTTCATTCTACATGCTCTGTGATCTTGCTTCCAATCCTGGAATCGGTGAGAGTCACATCCACTTTTCTAGACTTAGCCAGCCCACCAGCTGGACTCGAGTTGGGATGTGCCTTAGGCCCATGACTTGGCAGTGGCTCTAGGCCTAAAAAGTGTCCTGCACTGAAAAAGAACGAGTAAGTCACTGTAAACCCTTCTCTGCTCACTCAGGCTCGCATTGCCTGGTTGACTTTATTGTTGATTGCCACAACTCTCTTTGGTTTATTATTATGGCTATGGGTGCCCTGGGAAACTCAGTCTCCGGTTAGAACACTGTGTTTTCGGGTGAGGATTCTTCTTGATTCCCACTTTGAAATCCCTTGTTTTATAGGACTGGCTTTCAGATTCTGCATGGGAATCATCTGACCCATTTGGGAGCCTGAGGACTCCTGGGCATTATCTCCAGAACTTCTGAATTCCTAGGTCTGGATAGGAGTTGGGTTGGGTAATTTTCTCAGGCTCCCTGGGGCATTTGGCTGCTGGCAAATCATACTTTGAGAATAACTATTGCAGAATTACAAGCGTTAGGCAATGAAGAAACATGTTGCCTGCAGTCTGGCAACTGATGTGTTGCCAAAATTGACGGGAAGTTCTCTAAAGCCCTCTCCTTTCTCCATGCTACTCCTCTGTTCTAGAACCTGCAATGGCTCCATCCTGCCCCTTTCAGATTATGTCCAGATTCCTCCCTGTGCCGTCCAACTCTCAGCCCTTCCTCATCCAAGCTCCTTTCTCAATCCGCACAGTGCTGATGCACTCCTGAAATCTGGCGAACTCTCCGCTATCGGTATTACTCATCTTCAGCTGCTCCTTGGTGTCTTCCCTCCTGCCAGCAATGCCCCACTGACTCCCACAGCTTTGCCTTCTGTTTGATTTGCCCCATCTCTCCTTCTTCATTAGAAATCACCCACATTTCACTGACGCTCTCCGTGGACCAAACACCGTCCCATGCGTCCATCTTTGGACCCATCAGTCAGTCCCGAGACAAGGGTAGTGTGACCAGCCACACTGATGTACCAAGTCTGCATTGGGCCACAGTCCTGCACCTGGAGAGTGAAGCAGAGTGGCCGCTCACAGTGCCACTGTCACTTATTTGGTGCTGTGCCACTTAGGGGAAGCCTGTTTAATTCAGTTCTTCCTGTGAGACTGCATCAGATAGCCTCTTCTAGGCAGAGGTGCAGCCTCCTTTCCTTAGCCCGAAATGGGTGGCCCCAGGCTCCCTGTGAGCAGTGAGAGTAGCAATGCATCTAACAGACTACTGTTCCTGGGATCACAACTGGGGTGATTTACGGTGCGACACCACACACCTGGACACCACACAAAAGCTCTTCAGGTAGGAGAGTTGAAAATCCTGTGGCTTTTGAGGAAAGATGAGATTTAATTGTTGGAATAAACTCTCCAGCATCAAAGCACAAGTTACCCTTTTCCTGCAGGTCAGAGGCATCATTCAAGGATAAAGATATTAGCAAGCGTCCTTCCAGCTGGAACATTTTTCATCTCCTCTTCAAAGAGTAATCTCAGGGCAGCCACAGCCATGGAAACAGAGTATGGCAGGTGTCGCTGGGCTCTGCATTAGAGGCCCATCTTCCCCAGCAGGAAGGAGAAAGGCCGTAGCCTGGAAGATGAATGGGCTTGGGACAGCTTCGTCACGGTCTGCAAAGGGCGCATTCTCCTCAAGCCCTGATCAATCAGGCCCTCCCACTGAAGGCCCTGTGCTATCACTTTGGAGGGACTTGCAGCTCCTTTGTGTTGCCAACAGGGCACTTCTCATCTGCTTGGGTGACCGAAAGCATGATGTGGCTTCCAGGGGGGCTGGCACGCGATTCAGAGTAGATTTGTTTCTTTGTTCGTTGGGGGAGGCTGGAGATGCAGGATGATCGCACTATTCCCGGGCAAGGGCTCCCGTGCCTTTGTTTGCAGATTTGCTTGTTCGTTCAGTGTGGAAGAAGCAGTTTCATGTCCTCTCTCGGGACGAAAGGACAAAGCACAGCACCAGGGGACAATCCTGTGCCACGTGCCTGGACTCGCCATCCCTGTGGCCCGAAATAAGGGGCGGCCCGGCCAGCATGGATTCAGATTTTGGCTCCATCCTTGGTGTGTTTCTGGCAAGGCACTCACTGCCTCAGTCTCCCCAGACTGCAAGATAAAGGTGATTGTACTGACCTCCCAATGTTGTGACATGGATAAAAAACAGTTCAATTAAACATCTGACATGCAGTGAGACCAGTGTAAGGAAAGAAGAAAAGCCACCTTAGAAGCCCTCAGCATCCGCAGTGGTATGCCAGTGTAAGGGAGCTTCTCCTAGGGCCTTCCGAGATGGGTACTGGTTAGCCATGAGGCCAAAAGTGCAGTGGACAGCCGGTTCTCAGAGGGGTTCTCAGTGAACGGAAAGTGGATCTTAGATGCCACCTGCACGCCGGAGAGGACTGGAGCCCAGTGCATTTCAGGGACTCATGTGAGACCAAGAGCTACTATTTCCAAAGCCATCTCTGGGCCTCCCGATGTCTCACCCAGGGCTTTCTCCACTGACCAATAGTCCTAATTCTAAGCAAAGAACAGACACAGCTATGTTGTTCTGAACAAAAGCCCTGCTAGAGGGGGACCACCCAGAAACCAGCCATGAGCTTCTCCTCCACTGGCCCTGCAGCACTGGCTTCCTCTCCTCCCTCCCCTCTGACTCCCCTTCATCTCCCCTCTCCCTACCCCCTCTCCTGGGCATAGCAAACAGGCCAGTCTGGCGTCCAGGAGGTGGCCTGTGGTGATGTCAGCCTCTCCCCAGCACAGCTCCCATTATCACAGTCACTTGACCTTCCTCCCAGTGGCCCTGGACCTCAGCACAAGAATGACTCAGCCAGGGCCTACTTTGGGGCTGCCTTCAAAGAAGGGTCTGGGTTATCTCTGCTAAATGTTACTGGCTATGTCCCCTTGCAGTTGTTTCAGAGCCAGCTTGAACTTCACTCGCACTTTAGGGACAGGATGTAAACTTTCTAAGTTTGTTTCCTTCAGAGAACTATGACAAGAATTTATTGTTTGCTTCTGTTGATTTAAATTTTTTGTTCACAAATTTCACTATGAAAATATTCTAAACATAGAAAAGTTGAAATGCCTATCACCAAAATTCTACCATTATCAGTTTGCTATGTCTTGCCTTAGAGCACATTTATCCATTGGCCTGTCCATTGGTTTATCCACCTATTGATCTCATTTTTTCATAGGAAGAAAAGGGGCAAAGGGGAAGGGGAAGTGGGAGGGGTAGGGAAATGAAAGAAGGGAATGGAATTAATATGAGAAAATGAAAAAATGGAAACAAAGTCTTTGTAAATAGGGAGGGATGGAGGGGTTGAAGGGAGGGCAGGGGAAGGGGGGAAAATAAGAACCAAGAGAGAAAGGTGCAAATTTCCAATGATGAATGTCATTATAGTGCATAACTAAAATGTACCAATAAAATTAATAAAATAACAAAATAAAATGTGAAGTTGTAAATATTACTATACTTTCTTAATACTTCATGATTTTTATCATTATCCAGAATTTAAATTTTGTTTATATCCTTTTTCTTTTGAACATTCAACAAAATGTACAAATCTTGAGTCTACCATTGATGACTTTGGTCAAATGCATATACTTGTATAATGCCAACCCTTATGAAATATTCTGTAGTACTGGGACTCCCAAAAGCCCCCTCCAGCTTGACCATCCACTCCTCACCAAAGGCACACACTGTTTCTATGATTTTTACCGTATAGGATAATTCATCGTATTCTAGGACTTCATATAAATTGAATCATAATGTATGTTCTCTTTTGTGTAAGGTGCTCTCCCTCAGGAAAATGCTTTCAGATTCAGTTCCTACATACTTAGCCTGCACTTGGATTGCTGTGAGCATTAAAATCCCTGTCAGAATTAAAATGAATATCATAACTAAAATACTTAAAAATAGTACCTAGCATGTAGTGAATACGTCAGAGATGTCATCTACAGACACTGTAATTACTTATTGTTATTATTATCATTTTATATCATCACGATTGCTAATATAGGCCATGGTATGAACTCAGCCACCAAAACAAGCTGCTCATTCTAATTTTCCACTGGGGAAATTGGCCTCGGAATATTAACGTTCTGTGGTGCAGAGGTCCTTGGAGTTATTTCTTAATTTCTCCCCCCACAACCTGTCTCTGTCTCTGTGTCTCTCTCTGAAAGTGGAGGCATATGTTCCTGAATAGAGCTTCAGCTTCAGCAGCAGCACCCAGGATACTTGCTCCATCTTACTCATTCTAGCTTTGTGATGGGCTGTTCCTGAAGTCTATGCTCACTGCCAGGTGAAAGGCAGGGCTCTGCCTGTGGGTAGGAAGAGGCAGGGAGGCCCCGAATTGATGGGGTTCACATCCCCGGTTTAGGTCTCCAGGAATCCTGGGTTTAAGCTCTGGTTCACTTGTGAATCTCTCTCCTGGGATGGCTCACACTCACTTGTTAACGCAGCTGCAGATGACTGGTGCTGTCATCTCCATTTTACAGACAAGCAGACTAAGGTCCAGAGACATCCCTAGGAAGTAGTGAAACTTAGATTTGAACCCAGGCCTGTTTGATTGCTAAGTCCTGTGCTCTGTGCTTCAAACCAAGGTCTTTCTGATGTATTTGAAGGACATATAGAAAAGAAGAAAGGCCAAAAAGTTGAACAGTTAATGAAACTGCTAGTAGGGACAGTGCACAAGATTGACAAGTGGTTCCAATATGCACGCTGGGCACAGGGAGACACGGTTTCGCATTTGACGTGGAACATCTGTTGGTCCCGATGCAGCTCTAGGAGGTGTAGGCAGATATTAATGTTGTCATTTTGTAGGTCAAGCAACCAAGGGAGACAAAGCGAGTTACATCAGGTCACCAAAGTAGACTGGTGAGTGAAGGCAGGAATGGGAGGGGGTTTGAAGAGGAGCGTCAAGATTTGAAAGTAAAAGCTTCCTAGGTGGTACTTAGTCCTTGGAGAGAAGATGTGTTGACAAGACCTCTGTGGGCGAATACGCAAGCCCAGGTCTAACCCTGCTTCAGATACTTAAGTCCTGCAGTTGCTCGGCAGTGCCTGGTGCAAAGGAGCCCCGCAGTAGGTGTTAGGCCATTGCTGCAATCTTTATTTTTATTTTACTAGGGAATAAGATGAAGGGTGGGAGGGCTTCCAAGGACACCATGGTGTTAAATACGGAGCCTTGTATCTGGCCGCAGGGGCTCAGCTCCGGACCTCGACCCTGCAGCCCCTTCTGAGAGGGAACCGGCCCCACCTCTCTCAGCCCCGCTCCTGCTCCACATCCTTCTGCTTCATCAGAGTCTAAATTTACCCTTCTCGTAATTATTCACTCCGTGCCTCCTCTGCCTGAGAACAGAAGTAGGGGTGGAGGCCAAAATTGGGGCGGGACTCGGGAAGGCTCCTGGCGTCCCAGCGCCCGGCCTGGCTGCGAGTCACGGGTGCCAGCCAGTGCCCCTGAAATATCTGCTAAGGGCAGGGCTGGCTTTGAATATGCCTTTGAATGTTAAAATTAGAGCAAACCAAGATTGAATGCTCCCGAGAAACTGACCAGCTTCACATTTTTCTCCGCCCTCTCTCTTTTTATAACTATGACCACAGTAGTAATTCAATTGGAAACATACTCGGTCCCTGATTGCTCCAACACTGGCACTAGATCATTCCCAGGGCTTGAGTTGTTTTTTTTTTTTTTTTTTTATTAAATGCATACTGCTGTTATTTTCTGCCATGACTAAAAATACATCTGCCTGAGCAAAGGCTCAGCCAAGGCCTCCTGCCTCTCCTCCTGGGGGTCAGGAGCAGGGAGGGCCAACAGACTGGTGGGCTCTCAATTTGTGTAAGCAGCATATTGTTTCCAAGGAAAACTGCCCCAGATACTGATTCAATGCTAAAAATAGAGATGGTGTTTCAGACCGGAAGGATGGAAAGAGGGGACCTATGCACTTTAGGTCACTGACCACCAATATTTTCTCACTTCTGGCTACCACGTGGCACCGTTTAGGGCTTCTTTCTTTGCAAGGCCCCTACTCCTGACAGTTGGCGTGGGTCCTTTCCTCCTCCTCCTCTGTGAGCTCGTCTCGGCTCCAGCACCATCCCTTGTTTTGAGCCCACAGACCAAGGGAGAAATGAGCACCCGAGTTCCCGCCCTGGGCTCCTGGCCTGTCTCATCCCAGCCTAGTCCCTGGGGCTGACCCTGGATGGAGCTCCAGGCCAGGCTTGTCGGAGACCTTCTTCTTTAGGAGGTGAACCCCTGGTTGCTTTGGGACAGCTCCTGCCCTGGCGGCGCCCTGAGTTCCGATGGGTCCTCTCTTGCACTGTTCTTGGCTTCACCTTCTCCCTGGCCCTGAAGTTGCTAATGAGGCGCTGCCCCATGTGGTGCCCTGGCGGCATAGGCACCTAGCCGCCTGCTCACGCAGCCGCTCAGTTTATTCCAGCACCATCGTACAGGGCTTGTCCAGCTCTCCAGGGGTTTCAAGCCAGAGAAAGCCAGAGACTGTGCCCACCTTCCGGAAGCTTACATCCTGGGGCACACAGAGATATCAGAACAAACACAGCAGAGCCAATGTCTCCTCCTGCATTACCCCATCCTTCATGAGATCAAGAACGTTGCATTATTCATCCTTCTATTCTCAGCTTACCACGGGTCTGGCACCAAACCACGCATACTACACATTGAAACATTAGTGCTTCCTGAAAGAATGAATGGAAACCTAGTTTAAATGTCAGCTTTTCTATAAAAGCTTCTCTAAGTTTAATTAGCCCTCTCATCCACACATGCATTCATTCAATAGATATTTATTGACTGACTCCTCTGTGCCTAGACCAGCTTAAGGTGCCTACTAAGCATGTGTCTCGTGCTGCCACACTGTATAAGACTACATATTTTCCTGCTGTCTCTAGCACTCTGCAAGGGCAGAAGCCTTGCTAGCTCACTCTGGGTCTCCTAACCTAACACAGCACTGGACACCTCATAGGTGCTTAGAGTGAAAGATAGTTCAGTAAGAAATACAGCTTCAATAACTAGCAATTTTCAATAATTTAATAATTATTAAATAATGTAATTATTCGATTTAATAATTTTCAATAATTAAAAAGAAAGGAAATGTCATGGAGGGTAGGTGGCCTCTGTGTGACAGTCTTGGCTGCCAACTTCACGAGATGAAAAACACCTAGGAAATTGGTGAAGCACACTTCTAAGAGTGTCTGTGAGGTTTGCAAAGCTACTGGCGCGAGGAACAGCAAACTGCCGGGGAGGACCCAGTCCAAACATAAGCAGCACTGCCCGGTAGCGTGGGGGCCTGGCAGAAGCCAGAGCAGGAGGAGGGCACCCCCCAGCAGGCCCTCCTGCCCCTCCCTCCTCTCCACCTTGCGCCCCCATGGCTCCTCCACATCCTCCCTGCCACCACCTTCCACCTACCGCTGGCCAGAAGCAGCGGACTCAAGAAATTGCAGATTGAAACCTCGGAAACCGTGGGTCAAAATAAGTTTCTCCTCCGTTGAGGTTGATTTTCTCGGATATTTTTTGTCACAATGACAGAAAGATAACATTTCTCTGAAAAAGTCTTGAGTAGCTGGTCTACTTCTCTTAGTGTACAATGAAATGCTAAGAATATCTAGGTTTGGGAGAGATCTTCATCCTCACTTGAATTCCTTCCTGAATCTCTCCACTTTCTCTGACATTACAATACTAGCTTGTTTTTCTTCCCTGAAATCACTAGGATTTCAGAAGAGTCTAGTCAGCTCTGTCAGTCCATAATACCTTGGTAAGCCAGCTTACTGACAAAAGCAAGTTTGGAAATGGACACAACTATAAGGCCTCTGACCAGATTCCCACCTACCCCATGGCTAAGATTTTAGGTTCGTCTCAGAGCTGCCATAGACTCTGATGACCTTGGACAAACCAGTGCTCTTCTCTGTGCTTAGTTCCCTTTCTGGAAAGGAAGATTGGTCTGGTTGATTGCACAAAGTCTCCTACACATTCCACCCTTGGAGGAGTCAGAGTCTCCTCTGACAAGGAGGCTGGTTTATAAAGCATCCAGCTTTAATGAAGGGATAAAGAAAATTTGGTCTATACACACAACGTCATATTACTCGGCTGGGAAAACGAATAAAATCCTACCATTTGCAGCAAAGTGATGGAACTAGAGAACACTATGTAAAGAGAAATAAAGCAGGACCTCGCTCATTTATGTAAGCTAAAGACATTGATCTTATTGAAGAAGACAGTAGAATAATGGTCACTAGAG